ACTCACCTCAGCCTCCCAAGGCACGGGATTACAGGCTGAGCCACCGAGCCCAGCTTCCCAACCAATTTTTAAATGTTTGTAGTAGAGATGAGGTCTCGCTATGCTGCCCAGTCTATTCTCAAGCTCCTGGGCTCAAGCGATCCTCCCGCCCTGGCTTCCCAAAGTCCTGAGATTACAGATGTGAGCCACCATGCCCAGCCATTGACTACCTCCTTTCTGACACATTGTTGTGAACTCACAGCTGTGAGTACTTCCAAGTGTCCCCCAAACACTTCTCAAGTGGCCAGTCCCATGCTACCACTCAAAGATATAGAGCATCAGTAGTCAGGACTGGGAGTATATTCCTGTAGGTGGTGCACTGCACAATTCAGCAGTGCTGTTTATTTATTGTTTATTTTTGTAGTTGGAGTCTCACTCTGCGCCCAGGCTAGAGTGCAGTGACATGCTCATGGCCACTGCAGCCTCAACCTGCTGGGCTCAGGAGATCCTTCCGCCTCAGCCTTCCAAGGAGCTGGAACCATAGGTGCGCACCACCACACCCAGCTAATTTTTTGATTTATTGTAGAGATGAGGTCTCGCCATATTGCCCAGACTAGTCTCGAACCCGTGGGCTCAGGCAATCCTCTCGCCTCAGCCTCCCAAAGTGCTGGGGTTACAGGTGTGAGCCACTGCACCCACCAGCAGTGCTATTTAATGACATAGAACACCAACGCACACAGCAACTTCTGGCAAACTTGATTCATAAGCCGCTGAAGTTCCAAATGCCTTATCACAAAAAACAAAGACTGAATTGTTCCAAATTTAAGAGACATGAGAACTAAATACAGTATGTGATTAAGAGCTGGATACTGGAACAGAAAAAATATATTTTTTTCTTTAAAGCACATTTTTGGGGCAATCAGCAAAATTTGAATAAGGCGCATAGTACTGTGTCAGTGTTAATTTCCCTATTTTGGTATTAAACTGCAGTTATATTTGGGAAAAATATACACAGCGGTTTTTTAAAATTTTTTTTGAGTTGGGGTCTCAGTCCATCGCCCAGGCTAGAGTGCAGTGGCACACTCATGGCCACCCCAGCATCGACCTGCTGGGCTCCAACAATCCTTCTGCCTCAGCCTTCCAAGTAACTGGGACTACAGGCACTTGCTACCATGCCCGGCTAATTTTTTGATTTATTGTAGAGATGAGGTCTCACCAAGTTGCCCAGGCTGGTCTCGAACCCATGGATTCAGGCAATCCTCTCACCTCGAGCCTCTCAAAGTGCTGGGATTACAGGGTTGAGTCACCGTGCCTGGTCTTATAGAAGTTTTCAAGGATAAATAGGGATCATGTCTGCAACATATTGTCAAACATTTCAGATAAAAATAGACTAAAGGGCCGGGCTCAGTGGCTCAGCCTGTAAACCCAGCACTTTGGGAGGCCGAGGGTGAGTGAATTGCCTGAACCCGCTGGTTCAAGACCTGCCTGGGCAACTTGATGAGACCTCATCTCTACCATAAATTGAAAAATTAGCCAGGCGTGGTAGCGTGCACCTGCAGTTCCAGCTACTTGGAAGGCTGAAGCGGAAGGATCACCGGAGCCCAGCAGGTGGAGGCTGTGGTGGCTGGGAGCGGCCACTGCACTCCAGTCTGGGTGACAGAGTGAGACTCCAACTCAAAAAAAAAAAAAAAGAATTGAAGATGCATTTATTGACATCTGAAAACCCTAAATAAAATGGCATAGGCGGTGATAAAACCCTTACAAAAAAAATCAACGCTGGCAGACTCAATACAAAACCAAACCAAATTTGGAAGTCTTGTTTTTCTTAGCATGGCCTGCCACCTAGTGACAGAAAACTAAAAAGCCATCGGATGAGGAAGGAAACACCCTTTCAAAGCTATAGGGGCAGATTAGAAGGCCTGCATTTATTAGTCACTTACTATTTCCAGGAACTATTCCCTTGGGTTAATTCACAAACACACTGTGAGGTCATTGTCCAGACATTGACTCTTTCCCCCACACTGCCTGGTTTCTCTCAGCCGCCTCCCTCAGGAAGGAGCCTCTGGCCAAGGCTGGTCTCTGCAGAATATACACATCCCCAGCAAGGAGTCACAGGGTGCAGGTGACTGAGGTGAGCTGAGAACAATGCGGGCAGCACCCTTATTCACTGTGATTGTAACCACTGTGTATCAAGTTGAATAATTAACTTGCTTGACTATAAAGCTGCTTGCTGTATTGTCCCAAGGTAGGGATTCTTTCTTCACCCCTTGGCTGCCGTTGGTGCCTCCTGGGCGGATTTTTTTCTTCACCAACCAGCAGCCATCAGTGCCGCTTGTAAGTTTTTTTTTTTTGAGTCAGAGTGTCACTGTCGCCCAAGCTGGAGTGCAGTGACACGCTCACGGCCACTGCAACCTCAACCTGCTGGGCTCAGTTGATCCTTCCACCTCAGCCTCCCAAGTAGCTGGAACTACAGGCATGTGCCACCATGATACAGAGACCTGTTAATGTCTGTCCATATTGTCACAGC